TGGTTGCAAACTGGGAGTAGGGTCTCTTCTCTTTTTAAAAAGAAAACCCTTCTTTTTGCTACCTACTCTGCTAGTTTTCAAAACTTTATGTTTGTCAGTCTCTTCATCGTGATAGAATCGTTTTGCGTACAGGGCACCCTTGCCTGCATCGCTTGCATTATCTTCAATACCATTCTGATAGGAAAGGGATAAGAATTTTGGTGTTGGATTGAACTCACTCTTCTTTCTACTTTTCATTAGACTGTTGACATCTACAGGCTTTTTGCCTACTCTTTCATCAACGAAAACAGTTGAATCATGAGTCATCTTCCTCGTTGAATCACCTTCCAATGAAGTTTCGTCCAAAAGACCCAAGGCTTCAAGATAAGCATTGTTTCCTCCCTCAACTTTTTTCACCTCAGTCTTTTCAATTATCTCTTCGTGGAAGAATGACGGTGGCTTGACTGCAATCGATTCTGTTCTACTTATGCCCGTTTTAGTATCACAAATTTTATCAAACTCCGATCCGTTTCTGCTCCTATTTGACCCTGAATTTGATCCTTTTTCTTTCATGCCTTCCTTGTTTTTATCTCTTAACGCGCTCTTTCTGATGCCATCTACATTCAAACTTTCGGGTCTTTTGCTTGGTGGTGAGCTTGGCATTTCGTAAGCTGCCTTTATAAATACTTGGTTCTTTGATTTCAGCCTAACAACGGTGGATGGAGGTGGTGTCCACTCAAACAACCTATCTATTTCTCGATTGGTACACATAATCTGAACTGCCTTTCTTTGAAATATCTTCTATTGCTCAAATTTATCTTCTTTCCTATGCTCTCTGTAAACACTGAAGGGCACTTCTTCCAAGGAAATTGAAAGACATAAAAACATGCAAAAATGCAGATCTTCTTATCAATGCTAGCAGGTTTTGATATTGTTGTGGCATCTAGTTTTAAAACTCGTGGCACCTTATAGAAGCAAATTTGAAGCTCTTTCTATCATATCGCGAATTGATTCTCAATCTGTCTTCTCTCAGGCAAGTGTTTAGCATGGCTGCTCAACAACGAAACAATGATCTCACCATGAGCAATTCATACCGTTAAGCTAATTATTCATGAATTCCCGTAGATTTATTTAATTCAGCTTTTACACAAGCTATCTCAGGAAGGGAATGATAACAGCGGTTATAACAGGTATCAAGAATACCCTTGCATCAATAAAAATGCATAATGTATGATGCCATGCGCAATTATGACAAGTATTTGCTACAACAAAGTCAATTACTACTTAAGAGTAGAATTTTGTTAATAGATAAAAAGCTTTCGTGAATATGAAGATCGTTATAACACCAAATGCTGCGTGAAAGTATTAACAGCCCATTGAATTTCTCTCATTTTACGAAGCCATCTGTGTTAGAAATGACAATTTGATTTAATCAATTGATAAAAGATTGGCAAAAACGACCTGTCTGTTTCTGCTGCAATAAAATCAACAAGTTTTTTTAAAATAGCACGTCAAGTACCCCTTTTAACCATCTGCTGTATGCCTGGTTTAAACTTTGCAAGTTAACCCAGGTTGAACTAGGCAACCAACACGGTTTGGACCCAGGTTTAGTAAATTCACCTCAACGTCGTGTGAATTCTCCTATATTAAACAAGGGTCAATAAACCCGACTTTCGCTTAGGTAGGTATTCAGACTCGTAAAAAGGGCCTTAAAATTTGTGTTTTGATTAGCAGTGGCAAGATTTTAAAAACCAAGCCAATGAATGAATGTCTGATATTGTTTCGTAATTAAAGTCTGAAGTTTAGAAAGTCTAATTGAAGAAAGATGAGTTCGAGAACAATCTGTTTAAGAATGCTGAGAAATAAAGCAGCCTGGATATTCTATGTGAAGAATTTCTATCCTATTTGTTTTTAAATTTTACTGCCTTCTTCGATATTAAATATCCCTATAAGCAAGGCATCGCGCTTCATATCAACCTAGCATTTAGTTTCTGAATTAGAGAGAGAGAGCTTTTTGAGCAAAAAGCGACTCTTTGAAACAGCCGACTTTGATAGATATACGATTTGGTGAAGGTAAAAGACTACAAAATATATGCATCTCTACTGTTAATAAGATCAAAGTCTTTGTAACATTTACAAATATACTCATGTGTCATTTTAACCCAAATTAAAATACTTACTCTACATAATTAGTTCTTCATTAATATAATCATATGAAGATTGAACAGTTAAGTCTATGCAAAATAAAAAGGCTTGGTTAAGCAAATTTGGACCCTAAACCTTACAAAATTAAATCTAAAAAATTATTTCTGGACAGTGATGAATATTAAATACAACGATTATCTCAAAAATTATCATCCTAAAAGCTACCGAGCTAAAATACACTGATGCTTAAGTACACAGTTTCACTAGATAAACAAACCCATTACAGCTACGGGATGGGTACCAGGCATGTTGCTAATTGTTCTAAGGGTGTGTGACGTTGTATTAGCTTATCATACCGATCAATCCTTCATCGTAAACTAGCCAATTGCCCACGAAGATATGCTTCTTTCGGGCAAAGCACATAACGTGAGGTGAGGGCGTACAAGGATTAAGTTTCCACTTGATTTCTTGCTGATTTGCAATGTCTGCCACGCTCTTCTACTAGGTCTTTTTTCTTTCCCGCCTCTTTTCCATCTTAATTTCAGCAGCCCTGTCTTTGCTTGTTCTCCTCTTCATCCTTTTCTTGCGCATTTCCACTGCAGTCTTCATCCAAAAAGGATAACTGAACATATACGAATCAGTCATTCCATCTACACAATGTCTATACATTTGGCACTCTCTTATCCATTTTTCCACAGATTCCATCTTTCTCTTTAGCTTTAGATTGTTGCGCTCTTCTTCCGAGAGGGTTTCAATCGGTTCTGGAAAAGTCACGTTAGGTGTCAGGTTACCTAAATCCTGTGGAACGGGCCAGGTTTTCCGAAACCCTGCGAGAAAAGTACAATTTCCACTTTGCAGTTGACTGTCCTTTAACCCTTGACAACAGATCACTTTGCTCAAAGTTCCCAATGTCTCTTTTTCTCTGTAGAAAATTTCGTCTCTAAATGAGTCCATGTTTCTATTGTGGTAGCCCAAAGGGCTCCCAGCACTTTTTGGATGCCGATTCCTTTTTATTTCAACAAGTGTTCCAGATGTGCGCGGTCTACACTCATCCATCGTGCAGTGCATTAGACCAAGACGTAGTTTCAGGTAAAGCAAGTTTTTTGTGCTAACGCAAATACAGCTCAGAAATCGATTTTGTTAACTTTCTGCTGTGAAGGTCGTATGTAGTCTTAGATTTATCACAGTTTTAGCAGAGCAGAAGTCGCTGATTCTAATTGGTCTTCGGTGCGTAGTTTTCTAAGCTGTTTCATAAGCCTGCTATTGTGACATTCTCTTCCCAAAATCTCTTGAACTGCATCTCCCTCTTATAGCTTTTTCATAGGCAAAAAATTAGTTTCTATCGCTAGCTACCGACATTTGATCTGCTAATAAAATTATCAAGCTAGTTGTTGAAAATAATCTGTTTAATGAATATTCAATGAAACACAGTGTTATCCCTATCACTTTAAACGCAAGATGTTATAAATAATTGAAGAGCTTTCTGTTTTGATGACGATCAATGGTGTTGATACTCGTCATCTAAACATGACGACGTGGTTTAAAACAATTGGAGGGAAATTGGTATGTCAAAAGCCATCATATTGTCATAGCAATTTTGTCACGAAGTGTTTAAGTGAGAATCAAAAAAGGCTTTGTTTCTACGTTGTTGTTGCTGTGAATTACGTTAGGTTGTTTGCCAATATGTTTTATACTCAAAGCCTCAACAACAAAAATCTGCCATCTGTACGTAATGCATGACATAATGCCTAATTCAAGAGATAAAAACAACCTACAGTAATTTTTTACACATTCAGAAATAGCATCTGTTAGATAAAAGCTTCATTGCCATTGATTCTGAGAAGCTCGACCGAATTCAGAAATTTTATGTGGTCGTGGTCGGTTCAATGTCCCCTATAAATTCGAAACATTTCCTTCATGATCAAATATTGCTTTATGCAGTACCTAGCTCTAGTTTGCAGTATGGGTAGCAATTGTGGTAACCCAAAGATACACTTTCCTCTGCCTTTGGACCATCCAATTGAAAATATACCAATGGAAAACAGAAAAGGTAATGAAGTGACAACATTGTAGATTAATCAGCGCAATTTTCTCTCCAAATCAACAAAGTCAACAGGTTATTTCGAGAAATATTAGGTTGTTCGCAAAACACCGCAAAGGAGAGTTAAATATTTATAATCCGGAAAAATGAGACAAATACTTAATAGCGTCTCCAGTGGTGCATTTGAAATTGGAGTAGAGGATGAACAAAAGTTTTGGACTAACTTTAGACTCTAGAAGGTTAGATCGAGATCCTATCTCAAAAAACTATTCAGAATATGGTGGGCTTTGAGTAATATATGAATCTTCTATGGCAAGTTAATTGCGTTTGTGTGAACAAGTTCATCTGTTCCAAATTAAGAAAGCAAAATTTTTAAACAAGATAAGGGATGAAAATGGGAGATGTTATATTTCCACACCCTTAGGTACAATCCTTAAAAATTGCTTCGAACACTCTGCGGTCAATGTAAGATTTTGATGAAAAATGTTTCTGACCGTAAGATACACGGTTTGCTCACGGTTTCTTCTTAGTAACAGTTTGCTTCACCTTGCAAAATGATGTAAGCTAGAGATATGGTCCAAAAATATCTCCAAGTTTTTTCCTGAGGTCTTCAAACTCTAATAAGATCTAATAGTAATAAGAATAATTTTTTTCGAGATGTCCTAAGCAACCATTTAAAAAATCAGTATGCTAGGTGAGTATGCCGAGTTTTTGGACATTTTCCCTGTCTTTCTTTAATCAAATGTTCTGGAGTGAAAAGAGATGGGTAAAAAATACTGTTTTTTATAAACCATTGGTGAATAAAAAGCTAACTCGTTTCCAAGCTGCATGCGAGCTCGAGGCAGAACGGCCTAAAAAAGTTCTTCTACTCGTGGTCGATGTTTATGGAGGTTTATTGTTGAAGAAGAAGGAATTCTATTGACCTTATCGACAATTTTTTCATTATGAGTGGGAGACAGAATCCAAGTGACTTTCTCAAGCAAATAATTGGCCGTCCTGTTGTAGTGAAACTCAACTCTGGGGTGGATTATCGAGGTAAGTTAATGATGATAAAAAGAGGTTTATTGTTGTGGAAAGTCTTCTCAAGATGTAGCCAGAAGTCTTTTGACATAAAGCTTTGCCGAGTTTAACAAAAAGTAGCAGGAAAAGATCGCTTCTGTGAACTCTTTTTTTAACGAATAAAGATATTGCATCACGACAATTAAATATTTCTTCTTTTTTATCCAAAGGGGTGCTTACCTGCTTAGATGGATACATGAACATTGTTTTGGGGCAGACCGAAGAATACTTAAATGGTCAGGTAATGTACGAAGAGAAAGCTTCTTGTTTTTCATTGAACTTCAAGAATCTTTTCCAAAACTTCTTCAGATGGAGAATTTCTCTGGACAGATATTGACTGACATGATGCATAAATGCTAAGCTTTCCAGTTTCCAGCATTTAAAGCTGGCTTTTGTAATTTGAAAACGCAGTGCCTATGCAACAGACACACTTTGCCTTGCTAAGTTGCAGCATCATTTTCATCACATGCAAAGTATCAGGTCATAGATTGTAAACTACAGTTTATGACAGGTTATAATCATAGTTGATGGAGTGATTGCTCTGTATTTTGGTCTGTATTTCATGGCAGTTTTAGAGTAGATATCATGAGTGCAAATATCGAGATACAACTTTTTGTTTGGGGGTGGGGTAACAAAAAATAAGTGTAACAACAGCCATATTTTCTTAGAATTCTGCAGACGTATGGCTCCAATAAGAAATGGAATGAATGAACAAAACCTTTTCACTACAGAAAAATATGACAACGTTAGGAAGACTTTACTGCTAAATAACATGCTACAAAATAAAACAATAGGGCTGTTACTGATCACAACAACATGTCAATCAACTAAACAAATAGGTATCCATTGTTCCTGTGGTGGGGGAAACTAAAACGTAGCAATGTAAGTATAATCATCATAATTCCAACGCTCCCACTTGATGATGATGTTTAAAACAAAATTTAAAACCCACAGTATTTTGTGTATATATTAACCAAACTAAACAATGCTGTGAACTCCTAACAAGTTTCTAAATTTTTCAAAAGTAACTTTTGGCAGTCCTTTTGTCATTATTTCTGCCACAATGTCCTGGGTTGGACAATAGAGTTCTAAAGTGATGACGTCACAAAAATCTATTTTTAGAATTTTTGAATTTTGACTCCATAACCTGAAAGATCATCATCAAATACCTCTAAATGTGCAAAATCAGGCAAGTGTATTACGAAATGGCAGAGATATGGCCACATGTTTACTGGTTCTCTCCCCATCAAACCTCTGTATTTTGGTCTCTGTTCATAACTTTATGAACAGAGCCAAAATAACAGTGATTTGTTAGCAAACTTCAAATCTTTCATTAGCCATATCTCAACCGATTTTAGACATATCTGGCCAATTTTGCATATTTGGAAGTATTCCATGGTGATCTTTTACGCTGGTTAAAATTCAAAAATTCTAAAAATAGGTTTTTGATGACGTCACACTTTAGAACTCTATACTCAACAACAATTTCATTTGATGTCACTCTTTCATTAACAAAGTGATAAGAAACATCAATATGTTTTGTTCTGTTATGAAACTTTGGATTTCTTGAAAGTTGTATCGCTCCTTGATTATCCTCATAAATAATAGTAGGTAGAAACATTCTGTTTCCAAGATCATTCATCAATCGATGTAGCCAGATAGCTTCTTGTGTTACTTATTCAGCTTCAGTAGTAAATTTTGCTACAGTAGATTGCTTCCTGCTGCACCAACACAGTACATCTACCAATTTGAAACACATAACTGGATGTTGAGCAGCGTGAGTCGACATCACTTGCCGTATCTGAATCAGCAAAACCAACAACTTTGTCATCCTCAGTATCAGAGAATTTAAGTCCACAATTCAATATTCCTTTCAAATAATGTCATATACATTTAACAGCTAACCAATGATCTTTTCTTGGATTTGATAAAGTAACCAGGCCACAAGATAAAGTTCCTAATGCACCATCTGTATTGTGCTTGACTTTTAAAATCCAGTGTGAACCAACAATGTTCTTTCCCTTCAGGTAGTGGTACTAATTCCCAAGTTCCATTCTTCAATAAAGACGAATATTCAGAATCCATAGCTTCCTTCCATTGATCAGAATGTTCTCCATTCAAAGCTTCTTTGTGAGATTTTGGTTCATCAAATTCTGATGTTAACCCTTCGGTGATACAGGAATGCTCAACATAATTGGTAGTCTCTTGAGTCAATCTTTTGGGATGCTTTGTTTCTCTGTTTTCTCCTATGTTTCTGACTTTTTCCATGAATGTCTCTTCATATGTTGCCTTCACAGGACTTTCTCCCCCTGAAACGATATCCTCTGGTATCTCCGGCAAATTCTTGTGATCAATAGGATGTTTGATTATGCTTTCCATATAATCTTCATCTTCAGAAGAAACAATATTTTTAACACCTTCTGAATCAGCATAATAGAACTTATCTTCATAGAATAAAACATTTCTGCTTTGAACACATTTTCTTTTTCTTGGATCAAAAATTTATATCCATTTGTACCTTCATGATAACCAACAAATATTCCTTTGATTGCCTTTGGATCCAACTTTGATGTTGACCATCTGGTACGTGCATGTAACAAACGCAACCAAAAACGCGTAGATTTGAAAGGTCAGGTTTTCAAACCAACATTCAAAAGGAGTTCTATCTTTCAATGCTACAGTAGCACTTTGATTTTGTGAATAAACTGCTGTGTTTACTGCTTCTGCCCAGAAGTTTAATGGTAACTTTGCATGGTGACTAATTGTTCTTGCTGCCTCAATGACTGTATGATTTGATCTTTCAGAAACTCCATTACAGAAAATGTTCAGGACAGTACAAATTTTTAAACTGATGAGAAATCCCCTTCTCTGTGCAATACTGAGAAAATTTCTTTGAAGTGTATTCTCTGCCATTATCACTTCGAATAACTTTAATATTCTCCATTCCTTTTTCAGCAAAGACATTTAGTTTTCTTAATTGATGTCCAGTCTGGTTTTCTACCAAGTTAACAAACTCTCTAAATTTCAATAAAGTCTCATCTTTATTCTTCAGAAAATAAACAGTTGTATACCTTGAAAAATCATCAGTAAACATCAATACATATCGACTACCACCCATTGATTCTACTTGCATTGGGCCGCATAGATCAGTGTATATAAGCTCCATTGGTTGAGTTGCTCGGTGCTGACTGACTTTAGGGAAACACTGTTTATGCATTTTTCTAATGACACACGATTCACAAATTATCTCAGAAGAAACACTATCATCAATCCTCATACCAGTAACAAGATTTTTCTTTGTTAATTGATTAACATAGTTAATTGATTAACATGCCCCAACCTGTCATGCCATATTTTCAGCAATGGTGCCTTTGATGCTGTTGAAAGATGAGCAGATTCTGGTGTGGATACTCTTCATAGCTTGCCATCTAATACATGTCCAACAGTTATTTTCTTGCCATTTTTGTACACAACACACTTTTCCTTATCAAAACAAACTTCTGCTCCCATCTGAGCCATTGCTGGTACTGACAATAAGTTCTTTGTCAACTTGGGCACAAACAATACTTTATGTGAGGCAAGATAAACATCATCAGATCCATCACATGTGGGAAGCCTTACTTTCCCTTCACCTTGAGCCAATGCAAATGTGCTATCACCCAAAAATACTTTCAATGGATGCTCATACTTAACAAAGTTGAACATAATACTCCTATCAAATGTCACATGTTTAGTCGCACCAGAAACCATAAACAATGCATTTGTAATTTGTTATGCTAAAAAATATTGCTATATCTTCAAATTCAAATGATTTACTGTCATCATAGAGACTATTTTCAGCAATGTTTAAATGCTCATGTATTGCATTATTTTTTTTTCTGGGGACATTTCTTTATAGTGTGACCAATTTGATTGCACTGAAAACATCTAGGCCTTTTTGCATCTCTCCAGCCGCTACGGTTCTGTTGCAACTGAACTGCACTGGATGAAAAAGTTTACCACCATATTAGCCCCCACAAGAATAATTTTATCGACCACCACGTGCATGACCTTTCCCTCTGTTGAAGGTTGCACCACTTTTCACAAACAAAGCATCATCAAAAGCTTCTTTTTCGTTCTTCTCTTTACGTTTAATAAATTCTTCAACAAGTGATCCTTTAATATCGCCCCACCCCATTTCATCAGCATCTCGTGCATTTAAACTTGCATTAAGTTATTAGATGACTCAGGTAAACTGCCAATGATAACTATTGTAAATTTCTTTGATGAAGTATCCTCTTTTAGTTCACATAGCTGTTCAGCAAGGGAAGTCATATATGTGATATGCTCCATCAAATCATCACCTTCCTTCATGCTAGCTACATAAAATTTATGATTTAAATGCACAATTTGTGTCACTGATACAAACTCAAAATGTTTCTGCAAAATGTCCCACGCTTCCTTCGGGTTGATGGTAGAGGCAAAATGCACTTGCAAAGTTTTCTCAACACTCAAAGTGATCAATGATTAGGCCTTGTCCGAACGTAATCTGTAAGCATTTCTCGCAGATGTGTCTGCAGATTGTGTGGGTACTTCTTGCCCATCTTGAGTAAAACTCCACAAGCCACGCTCCATCAAAACCAGCTTCTTGTTGTATTTCCATGACTGATAATTTTTCCGTTCAACTGTTCAATCTTCGTGATCTTTGCCATGGTTTTTCATGCTTCGAAATTTGTTTTATAAACAAGTGAATATAAACAAATATCATGTCTGCCAGAGCCGGTATAACCCACAAACATTTGTAAGCGTACTGCTAAATAACATGCTACAAGATAAAACAATAGAGGTGTTACTGATCGCAACAACCTGTCAATCAACTAAACAAATAGGTGTCCATTTTTCCTGTGGCAGGGGGCAACTAAATCGTAGCAATGTAATTATAATCGAATCATGGTTCCAACATATTTTGCAAAATAAAAGCATTTTACTCATGCTGCTTAAGTTTTCTGGGGGGCACGGCCGCCCTTGGCCCCACCCATATTTAGGTCCTTGCATGAGTGCACAAGCTATTTACTGGAAAATGCTACTTTTCTTAGCAAATATGCTCCTAGACCAATCAATCAGTTTTTTCTCACAATATGAGTGAGTTGCTAGTGGGCATAGGTTAGTCAAATGAGGATCCAGTCATTCATCCTTTCTTGTAAATTATGATCTACACCTAGGGGTATAAATTTCAGTTCAGTTTCTTCTCACTTGAGATATTTCATATTCTGAAGTTGTTTCATACAAAATTTTCTAATTCCATGTATTATTCGAGGCTTTTCATTTCTTCCACTATTACATGATATTTTATCATTGCTTTTGGTTTTTGATTTAGTTGAAGAACAAATATGGAGATGCTTTCATTAGAGGAAATAATGGTAAGAAAATTAAACACTTGGTTAATGAGATTATTTTCTTAGTGTAAAATTTAGTTTTTGGAAGGGTTTGAACAGAATATTGAACTACCCAGAATATAGCTTTATAGCAACCCATAACTTTCCATTTATGTATGTATGTTGTTTTATGTTCTTAAGTTCAGTTCAGAAACTTCAGTTCACTTGGGTTTTATGATGTTGTCTCGTAGTTAAAGATACAAGTTTCTTACAATTTTTCAAGTTCTGTCATTTGGTATTTATGGTGTAATGTTACAATTATAATTATTATAAAAATGATGGTTGAATATCATCATTTATTTTTCAGTTCTGTACATCAGCACACAAAAGCAAAGGAAGTTACATCCTTAGATTTTGATTCCTGCCCACCTCTGAAGCAAACAATTTTAAACACTAGAACACTTAAAGGGTTCACAGACATGTCTTTATAAAGAGTTTAATACATATGAACTTGTGTTTGATCATATATCTGGCCAGGCTAAATGGATTCAATGGATGAAAATCTCTGTTTTGGGCTATAGCTGGAAATGCAATGGCCTAACCTGCTTGGATACTATGAATGAATATTGGACAATAGTAATGAAAAGGTTGAATCTTTTTAGACAAGCTGTAGTTTTGTTGTAGTTTTATTACCTATGGATGGAGAAATCTGTTAACCATCACAGCTTTAGTTGCTTTTCAGTGCTTTGAAATTTTGTGTTAATGTTTGGTATTTGGGTGTTTTCAAAAATAGCATGGTGGTCTCAGGTTTATACATTCATGAGAATTTGTACCACTTTCCCAACAAAGGTGACCTTGGTTATATTTTGTTTTTGAAAAGATTGTCTCTTAGGTGTTTATACACCTGTCAGATTGTACAGAAACCATCCAGTTGAAGCAATTAGAGCAGCAGGATTATCATTGCAAATTTTTTCTTTTAAATGTGCATATTTTCTCTAAAAGCTAGTTATGTTGTGTTTGAAAATTCAATTCATTTCAAATTGGGAGTACTTCATTTGATTGTTTCCCAGATCTCCAGGCTAGAGGCAAGTTACTTGGCTCAGTATGAAATTCTATCAATTTCTACCCTTTCATAGCAGGTAACTCAGCAAGCTGGTTAGCCTTTCTCCAGTCAAAAAGGCCCCTAGAAGCAGAGTTCTTTTGTTCACAATCATGAAAACAGCATATCATTTTCAAGAGTAAACAGTTTAGTAGAGGAAAACAGAATAAAACGATTATAAACAAGAGGAAGCAAATAACAAACATTCAAAATGCCACAAAATTGGGATATATGTGTTCTAAATTTTATTTTTCATCGTTCTAGTAGCAGTGTAAAATAAAATGCATTAAAGTGTTGAAATGTTTTATTCGTTTTTTGCAACTGTTATACAACAAAATCCGCTGGGTTATTCATCATTACTGTATGTGATGTTAGATTTTGAAAAGAAGTAATCCATGAAAGGCACTTTCTTTTTGTTTAAAATTTTAGGTACATGCTACAGCAATCAATCTACTTGATTATATTATTATAGTATTTTCAACACAGTTTATCATCTACTTGTTCAAAAGCTTTGCTGCACATGTGTATATATTGCGCTTTGCTATCCTGTGGATAAGCAAAGGTTCCGTCTATGCATTTTCTATAAAAAGTAGGTTATTTCTTATTGGCATTATCAAAAAAGTTGAATTTATTAAACTGTTTAAACAATTGATAAATTGTCATTCTTAACATATTTACAATGCATTGTAGCTTTTGTTCAAGGGGCAGTATTCAGTAACATGGTTAATATTTTGGCCCTCTTTTAATGTTTTCTACCTGCATTAGCACTCAAACATTGTACCTTTTTGAAGGTTTCAGAAGCAGATGTCTCAGGTTAAAGGTTTCAGGTAAATTTTGCTTAACACATTGTTTCCTTCCACAAGTTGGAGCGAACCTCTTCCACGATGCAACAGTGTACATCAATTGAAAAACTCGCCTGTAAACCCCTTTTCGTTTTTCTTCCACTTTGATCAATGGATGTGTCGATTTTGCAAATATGAATTCTTGCTATTGAATTTTTGCAATCTCCTAAAGCGATAACTTATGCAATGGTCTTTTAGAATCCTAAAGAACCCCTGATGAATTTTAAAACTAAGAAAGTACAATCTTAGGTTGCGCTTTGCTATTTTGATTTAACTTGCATACTTACACGGCTAGTGTGGGAAATTGATTGTGATCGACAATGTGCAATTTATAAGAAAGCGATACAAAATGGTTCATTAAAACGCGCTCTAAAATCCGTAACCCAAGCTTCACGTATCGATTCCCTGCAAAACATTGACTTGGTGATGTCATTTGATTGCTTGCCTTGCAACTCATCTTCAGCAAACTTAAATTTAATTGTTCGATGGATTTTCCTGTTCTTCCGAGACATTATTTTGCCGTGGCCCCTCGTTTGAGTCCGCCAGTTGATCTGGGTTGTCTACTGAAATTTCTTTGTTGTCATTTCCGTTTTTCTCCTCCATTGTTTCTTCAGAATTCATAGTATTATCTTTTGATTCCATGTTTTCTTCATATTCAGATGTATCGAGACTGAAGGTAATGGCCGGAATCGAACGTTTACTTGCTTCCTTTTGCTTTTCATCATACTCTTCATCGAATTTTTCTTGAATAAGACGTGCGTCGATCGAAGCATAATCGACGCCATATTTCCGCCCAGTTAATGACTCGAAAAGTCCGACTGCTCCTTTTTTATCTTCTGGTTTCCCTTTCTTTTTCTCGTATCTTTCCTTGACACGATCCATGAACTCATCTGCTTCGTCAGCAGCATCCTCTTCGTCACTTGTGGAAGATGATAGACCAAATGCAACCCTCTTTGCTGCTTTCGGCGATGATTCCGGAGACCCGCTTTCTGGTTCGTCATTGGCCGGAGTTAGTGACCTTCTCCGGATACCACTTCGTAGAACCCCAGCATCCTCAGCTCGCAGGTCAGTATTGCTCATGATCTGGTCTTCCGCCTCTACATTAGGGCATATACAAGGAGGGGCAGCAGACACCCCAGCGATGGAACCCCTTCTGATACCATCTTCGACATATCGCACATTTGGACAATTGTCCGTTTCAGACTGAGACAGCTGTGCAAGCTCAGTTTTTCTGTTAGCTAAATCAAGGAAAGGAGGAGCTGCAGAAACAGCAGCAACAGATCCTCTGCGGATTCCAGTCGTAACATACCGGGGAGAGTTTGGGCTAAAGAAATCTGTGTCACTTGCTAAACAATTTGCAGCTTGTGCTACCCCTTCACTTGGTTCCGAGGTTTTGAGATTCTCATTTGCAGCTTCATTCTCTTCATCTTCTACGAATCTGTTTAGAAACATTGAAGGAGCAAGAGATTTCCGCCGGACACCACTTGCAACGACTGGCTCAGTACGAAACTCTGGCTGTTCTTCTTTGCTTTCTTGGGCACTTGTTTTTCCAATTCTCGGAATCATTTTGAAAAAATTTAACTTTTCAATGATGCTTTCCTTTCGTGGCTGGGGATTTTCCTGAACGGTTTCAAAGCTTCTTGAAATAAAATTAACCGTACCAGGTGGTGATGCATCCTCTGTTGTTATTGCCAAATTTGAATCAAACTGTGCAGTTTCTTCTTCAACCAGTGTCCCGTTGTCCAGCTGAAAACTTTTACGCCTCAACTCCTTGCCAGAAGTTTCAATTTCATCGCTAAAACTTATTCGGGGCATGGAACTATCATTTTCCGGCTCCGCTGACCCTTGTTCTATCCCATCATGCAACGTCTCCTCTTCAATCACTCTCTCTTTCATATCGAGCTTCCGGTTTTGTTCAGGTTTTCTGCGATTCCCAAGCGATTTTATCCCGTCGAAAAGCATAGCAATGCTTGATCTACGTGGTTGAACTGGCGATGCTTGGTTCTCAAAACTTCTCGTTACCAATAAAATTTCATTAGGAGAGGTAACTGCTTCTAGTGTTGCCACCTCGTCCTTGAATGGTACCTCTTCTTGTACCTCTGTCATGCTCTGTACACTGCCTCGCCTGCTTCCACTGCTGATTTCACTAGCAATGGCTAGCAATCCGTTTTTGTCTGTAAGCAGCTCACATTGTACGGAGTTATCCAATAACGGGATCATCACAGTAGTGCATGTTGGGCAATAGTATCTGTCCAAGCTTGCATTTTGGCAATTCAAGCTATCTGTCACAGGCTGATTGTCTGTTTCAACTGCCACCATTTCATCACTTTTGAATTTCATTGTCACTGAAATTCTGAATTCTCTGAAATAAGCCAAGGAATAAATATACAGGTAAGGTATACAGGAACAAAGCAATACGACGACGAGAATCCAATGTCACGAAATAAATTTTCAAAATAAATTAAATTTAAAAGTATACTAATATTTCGCCCCGGCATACAGGGCTTCATCAATAAATATTAGCCTACTTTTAAATATTATGGACTTTTAAGATGACATGTTTTTCAAACTTCACCACAATAGTCAATTCCTTTACATTTTCCTGATGACCCTCTAGAGCTTGCAAATGTATACTGGTTTTTTAAATAGACTTGAATTTACTTCGAGCAAACTACAGCAAGATTTACTAGAAAGAATACTTTTTGGTAATCCATTGTTCTCCCCTTTCATTTTCCGCATGACCATGAAGAATGGGATTATTTCAAAAATTAACAAGTGTAGGACAACCATCTTAATGGATGTGGTGTCAGATATATAAAGGCAAGTGTAAACGTGAATTTTCTTTTGGTATGGTGACTAGTCCAGAATATGCTGAATATTTTTTTAAATTCTTTACCGATATCTTTCGATTTAACGCTAGAATTTCAAATGCTAGATGGAATTTTCAGCTGACTGAAAATATGTGTACTGAACTTCGCTAGCCCTCTGCTGATTTCACAAACGATAACGAAAGCGTGTTGCCAATATTTAAAAGCGAGGTGGTTGCTAGCTGTATTCTAACCTAAAAGATTCAAGCATCAATTTGTCCAGTATCAAAAGTGGTCGCAAAATGCTACCTCTGCAACGGTTCCTACGTAGAAAAATCTTGAAAATTCTAGCGCATGCGTAAGGCTTTTGACGTAACTTGAGCCGTGCAAAGCCATTAGAACAGCTGAAGCACACATTGAAGCAAACAGGCTGAATTGAGCGGTCCCCACTTATTCTGGGCAAGTGATAGAGCATTTTGTACACAAAGTGTTCCAAAATAGCGCAATTTTCAGCCAAACAACGGCTTTTTCTATGGACTATATTTTGACTATACATATTCTTAACCTGAGCTACATGGCCAAGCATTTTTGGAGGTTTTTAAAATCTCTACTCTATGGTATTAGGCACTTCGTTGCAAAGAAATTATTTCTTAAATCTTTCAAAAATCTTCATCGAAGAAAAATTCACACATTCCAGGCTATCATGGTAAGTAAAAACGGCGATAAAAAGAAAAATAAATTACCTCAACTGTAGATATGGACAGTGTAGAAGTTTTTGTTCCCTTCTTTGCCTCGTGAGTTGTCTCAAAGAAGGAACCAAGTAGTGGCAGTTGCAGGTTATGGAAAACCAACTTTGTTTTACAGATACCTTCACTAAACTGAGCAAAGCTGGTAAAGGAAACTCATAAAAACAACACAATGATTGTTCTTTGATTAGTTCAATGACCATTGAAAACTTTGTTTTGCATTTTTAATGAGTAGCCGCTACCCTGTAGCCCCTGAATGCCAAACGCTGCTGTGCATTATTTCTTCCCTTTTGATGATATGGTGTCTTGTGCTTAATGAGAGATACTTTCGTAGTATAAGTTGTAGGATTTCAAGCCATTTTTGCAGTTCAAGCATGTTAATTTATTTCCCGAAAGCAATTTTTGTCATTGTTAAAATATATAAGATACAAACACTTGTCTTTGAATTATTATGTAAACATTTTTCATAATGGACGATGCCCTTAATTTATAGTAGTTGACTCGGGATGCACTCACAGCGTATAAATGTAACTGTGATTCTTAAAATTGGTCCTTTTTTCTTTTTGGTCTGTCATTGGTACAATAGCTATGTTGTTATGCCTTATAAGAGTAAGGAATCGACCATTTCACCTTAAATGTTTCTTTCAATGATAGTTCACTAAGTACTATCAACTCCTGAAGGTCTTGAAGAAGGAGTTTACATAGAGCTGTCGTTCATTCTTGCCTGAATGCAGAGACCTATCCTATTAAAAACCAGTACTGTTTGTAGCTGTGAAACGGGACATCTGAGCTTCAAGCTGCGTGAAACCACGAACCGATTTGTGTTTTTGCGTGGGAATCTGTATACGCTAACTTCCATAGTGATATTACAGTTTAGACATGGTCAGATGACATGTTGGAGAACATATTTGCAAGGGACCTGCTACTGGTGACCATTTCATTTATTAATCAAGAGGTTTTGCGCAAACTAGTTCATGCTGGAAAGCAACATTCACATTTCAAACGTTATTTTGACATCCGGCATGAGATAGTAGCACATGCTGTGGAAGGCTGACCCAGCGGCCCTGTAATTAGAATGGGTTTTATAAAATTGAGGTCTTTTTGCGTCTGCATCTCATTTGTAGATATCTATCATTTTCGAAAAACAGTCGATTAATAAAGATTAATAACCCTTACTTTCTTTGCATCTCTTTATTTTCACTAATAAGTAAATAACAATTGTTAAAAGTTTTAAGATAATAATTTCCAAAGATAGGCATTTCCATAACCATGCTCAAGCATTGTCAGTTGCATTTTAATTCCAGTTGACATGACAATTGCAAGTTCTTCTAATTTTCTGTTCTTGAATGGCTTTTTTGGATAGCGATGACTTTGCTTAAGTGCTTGCGACCATTGTCAATGATGACCTTTAATAACGAAGATATTCATGTAGTCTAGAGCATTTTTCATCGAAGGGTCAACGGTATAAGGTGAATATGATGTACAGATAGTGCTTTATAAAGAAAACGAAGTGTTGTGTACGGGATAGACCTTATAGATAGTGCTTTTTTAAAGAAAACGAAGTATTGTGTACGGGATAGACCTTATAGATAGTGCTTTTTAAAGAAAACGAAGTGTTGTGTACGGGATAGACCTTATAGATAGTGCTTTTTAAAGAAAACGAAGTATTGTGTACGGGATAGACCTTATAGATAGTGCTTTTTAAAGAAAACGAAGTATTGTGTACGGGATAGACCTTTTTCTGTGTAGAAGATATCGGCAAGACGATAGGATTTATTAATTAACTTTTTTGAGCTTCATATTTCAGATTTATTAATTAAATTTTGAGCTTCATATTTCAGTTTGATTGTATTTAGAGCTGCTTAACACTTACTTTTAGAAATTAGACAGTTGAAATTAAAGGCATTTGACATGCATAAGTACAGCGAATCCAAAAATAACTTAGGCCAAATTGATCAGAGCACGTGCACAAGAAAGGAATTGGAAACTGTTCACGTGAAACCATTGCAAGCTGCTCTAGGATGTCACCGATTTGCAGAAAGGCGGAATTCGGTGAAATCTTGTTCTCGTGTTTTTCTCTGTGCGCCATTTGATTGGTCATCCACTCGTGGTCGAGTGGCTGCAAGCCAGTTTTACCTGTGTCAAATGCCTTTAACGAATGTTACTTAACGACCTCTAGGTACCCTAGCATAGTGAGGGGGCAGCCGCTTGCTCCAACGACCAGAATGCTTGTGTTTGAGAATGGTGCAAATACAATCGCTCTACTGGCCTTTGCCGCCCCCCCTAAAACTTCCAACTTTGGATACGCTACTGCTTAATGAGTATGTCATTTGTCAGAAGCTCCTCTTTTCATGGTTTTAGCTGCGTTGAAATGTTGAGATTGATAAAGATCGAGGTAGGATATTGAGGTAAATTCAACTTTACATATAAAGATATGAAAATCGGAGGACTTCCTAAGGTAGTTGAAGCAGGTGCATTGATTTGCTACTCCTAGGCTGCTATTATAACTATAAAACCTATGAAACATTAATATCAAAATATTGTAAAGATTACTTGTTTGTAGTAGATACTATACATAATTCAGTATCGATTCATTTCATAAAGCAGTTAAATCACAAGGCTTCAACAATAATCAACCCACCGTCCAATGTTAATCTTAAAGAGCGGAAGGCCCAGAAAACTGACTTTGTTGTCCGACAACCGACAGGAAGAAGCTTAGGGAAGTTGTACATATATGGTAGCTAGGCAAGGGGACAAATTCTCAACTGAGACATTCATGCATTCAATAGCAAATTTTTTCAAAAACAGGAATGAAATAATATATTGCCTTATTTCTCCTCCTTATAGTGACTAGCAATTGTATTCCAAATTTTGTGCCAAGACAACATTCGTTGCAATTTCTCTAACCATATCATTTAACTAGATTAATGGTTTATACTTAATTATTTCCTTCCTTTGTGGGTGTTATGCAAAAAGCATGAAGTATGTAGTAAGATATATCTGAGCCGTAGCATTGAGGAAAATTTTGAATTTTAGGAACTCATCAATAAGATAATTTTCAGCGGAAAAATAGAAAAATTGATAGCAGAAATTAACTGTCATTAAGTAGATCATTCCCGGGAGGTACTCCCATTATGGCCTAGCAGGGGGGTCCAGTCAGGGTCAAAGAGGGCCAACGCTAAAATTTTAAAAGAATTACACTCAAATGGTAGTTTTTTTGACAATAACCCTCAAATGGGAGCATAAAAACCGAAATTATGTCCTTGGTAGCATCCATTTCTTTGTGCTCCCCTGGTCCTTTTTTTTGACAGATTTCTTCACAATTGACTGTTGTTGTTTCGGGAGAGAAAATCTTGTTCATTATCTAGAATCAATTGCAGGCTAAACTCAGCAGCTCAGTTATTATCGAAAATTGGCCATTTGATAGCCATTTGGTAAGACCCTCAAACCAACAGAACCCCTGTCAGGCCTTAATGGGAGTACCCCCTCCCTTGAACAGCGACAACAACTTACACAGGACTTCAGTCCCGACGTTCAAAATGGCTGCTGTAAACATTTGCCGTAGGTGCTTGCAAACAGCTGCAGCAAGGTCCCACGTACCGCTTATCAGATTTCCTCAAAGGGATCCTCTCTTGGGAAGATGTATGCTTTATTTTAATCTTTTTATTAATCGAATCTGGGAATCAATTCATTTAAAGCAACAAGACACGCCAGTAGAGTAATGGCTCGAAAGCTCTCGAGTTATTTTCTTATGCCCGTCAGCATTTTATATTGAAAATTATTTAATATTTATAAAATTTGTAGTTAATTGCTGAAAGTATTAAATGAAAATGAAAATGTACATATGTTTAAATTTGAAAATCTTTAAAGGAAGATGAATTTTAATTCTTGCCAGAGAGAGGACAAAGTGTCAGCTCCAAAATATTTATCATTTTCATGCTTTTTGTTCCCTTTGACATCCAGCAACACTTCATATCTTGGACAGTATGAATATGATTGAATATAAACGACTGCAACTTGCTTTCTAATTTTGTTTAAATGTCAATACAGAGAGCAAATAAAGCAAGAGAGCTACATCATTAAAATCAGATATAGTTTATTTATGTGTATATATTGCAATTTAAATCCTAAATGTATTTTTTAAATGTATTTTCAGCATAGGCGTAGACTTGCATTTTTTTCAGGGGGAGGGGGGGGGGGAATCAAAACATTAAATGACAATTCCAAGAGCTCGATGTCATATTGCTGTAAACGCAATTATCTAATGCAACAAATCTTATGCGTAAAACCAATAATATAACAAACTAACCTAAAAATTGGTAAAGCTCTCCCTTATTTTCCAGGAGGGGCTCAGCCCCCCCTCAGTTTTCGTCAGGAGGGGCTGAAGCCCCAGAGCCCCCCCTGAGTTTAGGCCTATGATTTTCAGTCAATATTGTTAAGTAAAGGCCCAAGAGCCTGTCCAGGAGCCTTTTTCTAAAAAAAAGAATAAAAAGGAGTCTATCAGTTGACCCTATCATTTTACAAGATCTAGGGAGGAGAGGAAGATGAATTGTGGGATAAAATTCATGAATTTTTCAAAGAAACTTGGACAGGAATCTCTGGAGACCTGGAATCATATTTCTGATCTTCCCTTAAAAAACCCTATCAGTTGTGGATGGATAAGATATTCAGATCTTTTTCTATTTTAAGACTCTCTGCTCCTCATTCTAGCTAGCAAAGGTGAAACAGTGAGTCTATCCAATATAATCTTGAAGCTTTTCACGCCATAGTCACCTCAGTACTGTGGGTAATATATTAGCATAGAACTGTAAGTTTGTTGTTTGTTGGCCTTCTTTGCATTTGAAGCAACCTCTCAAGACTTTGTTGGAAATTTCAACAATGCAGTCCTTCTATCATAAATTTCTCTTTTCACTGGCTTCCTTCTTCCATGCACCTGTTTCAAGTATACTCCAACGTATCAACATTTTCTTTTACCTTGAACCTTGCAACTTGACTATTTAGGATTTCTTCTTCTTTCCCAGCATGCAACAGATATAGGTACTGTCACGCGTCACCTCTAGAATATCAATGTAACTGTCCATTTGAAAAAAAAAACAGGGCACAAGACTGCAACATTTGAAACAAGCCTCTCACTTTTTAATTTGTTTCTATTGCTCCAGAACCATCTGCTCAAGTAATTTTTGAAAGAAGCTAGCTATCATTCATGGATACATATTGATGGTGCTGGAATGACACTACTTTTTCACCACATTCATTCCATCCATAATGCTTCTACAGTGGCTTTGGCAACTCCCTTTGTACAAATGATTTAAACAAATGGACTTATTCATATATTTTGTAAAGCTTGCACAACACAAAGTTAACAATTTTTACTTTCCTTCTAAACTCATACCAATTTCTTTAAATTTTTACCAATGCTTATTTTTGTAAGTTTAAGAGGTCCCCAGCTCTATAAACATATTTTTGCTTCATTACCAGGCATCCCCAGAAAAAAAATTGCATGTGATCAGCAAGATATAAATAATATTTTGTTTTTTGTTGATTGATAGTTCCACTGCTTGAAAAGATAAAAAGCATGGTGATACCAAAGTCTACTGTTCCGAAGTTGCAGACAAAAGAGCATGGCATAATTTTAGAAACTGTCAGTGAATTGCCTGCAAAATATCGAAGACAAGAAATATCTCAAGAGGAGATTGCATACATTGAAGTGAGTATTATTTTGTAAACTTAAAATATTTATTCTACAAATAGTAATTGTAAACAATAGAGAAGTTATATATGTTTGATAAACTTCAATTGTTGTAGGTTATCACAAATAAGGCAAACTATATCAGGCAATGCTTGTTGCTAAATTACTTCTTTTTTACAGTTGATCTTGAAAAGCTAGCCTTAAGGGCCCAGTCAAAGCATTCAGTTAAACTCTCGGTTATAATAGTTCCAAGGTTATTTTAATATTCAATTAAAAGTGGATAAATAAAAGAACAAATTTACCAGTTGTTTTTGCATGGTCAACAATACTTCACCTTTCTGTGCTATGCCAAAGTTTGATGACCGAACATGATATTAGAAAATTGGCATATCGTGACAACTTTTTTTTCTTTCTTAGCGTGGTGGACCTGAGTGAATTCAGATCGCAAGAGCCATAGGATGGAAGAATGTTTTCTGTGACATTTACTTTTTGTCTAGCCAGTTACACCAAAAGGTCTGTCTTCTTAATTAATTTTTATTAATAAACAATTAATTCACCGAAGCTTCATTTTCAAGGTTAAGTGTTTCTCTTAATTTTGCTGAAGTATTAGCTCACAACAAAGATAATTTTATTTAAGCATGTGTACATAATATATTTGAAGGCAAGTAAGGCGATATTCCTTTGTATGTGTTCCTACTTAACTAAACTATGTTAACAAACAAATTGTTTTTAAAATACAAGTTTTTTTCATTTTTAACGTAGTCGGAAAGAATTGTAGATGTTATCGTTATACTGTAACACTAAGAGGCAGCATAACGATGTCAGCTGAACCAAGCGAAGTTTCAAGACCAATTTTTACATGATCAGCGAATGCTTCCTGGAAAATGATACGAGAATGCAAGCGCAGAATCTCTTGGGTAAATTGTAATGCCAGTATCAAGAAGAAAAGAGATGCGTCTGTTGTGAAATGAAAAACTAATTTCATCTTATCTTTGGCAAAAGGAAGTATGTGGTTTTTGACAGTGGGTCTTACAAAAGCATGTGAAATATAAGAATAATTTAAGATCAAGGACAGTCTCTGTCAGAGATGTAGGAACACTGAAGGTATATGCCCCCTCCTGTCACACAATTTGAAACGCTTGTTGCAAAAAGTGCCCTTTTAGTCTCAAATTTCCCCTAAAACAGCAAATTTAAGTAGACTGCAGACACAGTGTCCTCACTTCCCTTTGAATAGAAAAAGGGGCCTTCAGTGTCATGCCCCCAAAGTTTAAGATGTTTTCTACGGCCCTGGTCTTAATGAAAGACTCAATTCACAAAGAAAGTCTGAAAGAATTTTCCTTTATTACATTTTCCACAAAGAATACCGAAGACATTAAAAACGAAGCGTTCCGTTTATTAATATAATTTTATTCAAAAATAAATAAAATCTGCTAATATCTTAATCATTTCTACAAATAAAAGCTTTTAATTTGCATAAAATTTCAAAACAATGGTACGAAAAATACATATTTGCAATATGAACGACATTCCCTTACGTGCGATTATTAATATTACTTAAATATATAACTGAACTGTAATCCAATACCCCTAGCCTGGAGAAAAACTTTTTTATATTGAAAATTCTATTACAGATGAAGCAATAGCGTCGCCAATGAGGTATCATAAAATTCTCTTTTAGAAATTTAAGACAACAAAAACTTTTCGACACAATCAAACGCATAATTTGTCTTTAAATTAGAGAATCAAGAGAAAAGATTTAGTGTTCAATCAATGCATCGATTTTATGTTCTAAACACTGGTATTAAAGTGGTATAGATGCCTGTTGATAGCTTTTGTTAAAGAATCAGATCTCGTAACTGAGGTGAGAACTTTGAACCATTAAATTTAGTTAGCTGATATAAGCAATAAATATAACACAATTAATCTATAACTTTAAACAATAGAAATTCAAAAACATTTCAATTCAAATATCCACAAATATATACAATTAAACATCTATCTGCATTATTGCATTCTTGTATTATCGTGTACAAGAGCAGGATAATTCAGTTTGAGCTAATGATGTTGCATATCAATTGTTCTAAAAGTGACGTATTCACACGTGTAATATGCGATAATGCAAATGAAGAAATTAATAAAATCTGCGATAATATGGCTGAAAATGTGTCAAATTTTAACCAAATACAAACTGATTAGCTGCAAGGGCCAACGTATATTTCCCTGGGTATATTTCACGTAAGCTTTGTTAAAAAACAATATTTTTCAATGGGTATATGTTCCAGACTCAGTGTGGTACCTTAAGAAACCAATGGCAAAATGGCTTCTTTCGTATTTTATTATTGAGAAGCGTTATCTCTGTGAAATGCGCATCAATTTACTTTTTACCTGAAGTACCATCAACAAAATTTAAGGAAATCATGTGCCCTCGATACAGTAGCTATTCATACCCTTCCAGCTATAATCTGTTCCTTTGAAATGCAAACATTGAAATGACTGTATCCTGTATTCCTGGATAAACAGCTTCTGGAATAAAGATTTCTATTAGCTTTCAATCCCATAGAGCAGCATAATTTCCATACAGGCCAAGAGCAAGTGGCCCACCAGCTGTGAATAATTTTGTCTCTGTCGGATCATAGCAATGTGTATAGACAGCATTTGGGTATTCTTGTATGTCCCAAAAGAAATGTCGTAAGATCGAATCATCCCGCTGAAAGAAATTAAAACAAAGCTTTTTGGCTTGGGGCAACAAGATTCATAAAGACAAGGCGCTTAGACGCTGAGAACACAAACCTCAAATCAATTAAGGGCCATTTCTAGAATTTATTGAACAAGTACATTTACCAGAAACAAGATATGATACGTAAGAGCTTTAAGCAAATTAAAACTGCAAAGCTAGGCTCCAAGCAACACTTTTCTGATGGCTTCGAGTATTCACAACATGCAACAGTACAGCACCTCTCAGCCAGATTCTGTGCTACAGTTCTTCGATATTCAAAAGAGCTTCTCTACCGTCTGTCATACTAATATGTTGTTCTACACAGCAATGGAAAAAATATTGATAAAGTTTGCGTTTTAAATTCAAGTTATGAATTGAAAAAAGGCACAAAGAGTTGTGGTTCATGGAGACAAATCATGGAATTCTAGACTTTGCTTAGAAATAGAAGATTGAAAAACATACCAGCCAGCCTTTCCCAGCTTTAAGAATACATCGTGATTGATCTTGTCTTTGCAAGTACTTACAATTACGTAAATCATAAAACAGTACAGAGCCTAAACCAGTTCCGATGGTGAGCACATAGTCTCTGAAACTGATCGATCGGACACCTGAAGATATAGAAAAAGTATATACACACATTCACAATACACTGTTATGGGGAATTTGTTGTATGAAGAAAGTCTTGTATTAAATAGGCACAGTTAAAACTGTCTTAAAGCGTTTAAAAACAAAGAAGAAAAACAGTAGCAATTAAAATAATCTTAACTTTGAATGGGGTCCTGTCTAGATTCTATACTGTAAGGGCTTATATTTGCTTCAAAGTTGATACCTTTGGTTTACCAAGGCTGATACCTTGAGGGACAATATTCAACCGAATGCCCAACAACATTTCAGCTTTACATGTAAAGACTTTACAAAAAGACGCTCAAGGTAGAGGTTGGTGACACAGAGTTGCTGCAGATTCTCTTAAAAGTGTGATTTTGGCAAAGAATGAAGAGTAACATCAAATATATTTAATGCACTAAAGGATACAGAAAAGAAAGAAAATCTGGCTCGTATTGCTACATGAATGTCATACAAAAGGACATTAGCAAAGATAAGGGAGAAACATTCTCATCCTTTGTGATCAGGGGAATCCTAAACCTTGTCCCTTGATTTCAAAAGTTGGTATTTGATATTAACAAAGTTTCCAGGCAATAGCATCATTAAGAAATAGACTTATAAAAAATGCATATATGGCAATACCTGATCCATGAACCTCAGAGGACACAGAGCCAGCATGAGAACATGTTCTCGGATCTATTAGTGACACGTGAGACAAAGATCCCACTGCGTATAGACAGTTTATTTTCTCCTGAGCCAGGCAAACGTTCTCTTGACAATGTGGAAGTGGCACTGCAGCTCTCTGGCAGTATGAAAGAAAACAGATATCTAAAGATGTGCATATGATAGGGTATAAGATGTGCATATGAGAGGTAAATGGTTGTTATGAGAGGTAAACAGATTGTTTAAGAAATGAATTGCATTTTTACTGAAACTTGCAATTGATGTCAGACAACAAATGAAAATGAATAAAATTTAAACAAAGAAAATAACTAACCTGTTTGTAGTATTCAAGGTTGAGAAAGTGAATAAAACCATTTGTGGAAATTGCAGCTAATTCCTAGAAGCAAAGTTCAAGTTTATACTGTATTAAAATGGGGCAAAAAGCAGGAAGCAATTGCAGTGTGAAAGTTATTGACTACAATTGTCTACTGACGAGGGCTTCTAATTTACAAAAAGCCAGATTGTGTCCAAATCAGATGAAAAAGAAACCATTACAACTACATTAACCTTGATACTGTCTCGCATACAGTTTTTACCAACAAAGATTTTTATGCAGTTCATTTAAAACACTTGGATCTAGCTAAATCTATGAAAAATTCCATTTCAAATATCATGTTAAACAAAATGGGATAAAGTTATTTAGGAGAAAAGGATTTTTAGTATGTTTGAGAAATGTGAATGATTTTATCTTAAACTTTGCCCAGTCACAGAATTATTCTTAAAACAGCAAGCCAAAATGATAAAAAAGGGTAACTTTGCAATCATAGAAATAGCAAGAAACTAACCTGGGAATGCTCATTATACACAATATCTCTGACTCTGTCTACCAGTTCAATATCTTTCATTACAAGCATTGGGGAAATATTGGAGTATCTCACTGGAGGACTACAACGTTTTTCGCAATCATCGCGAATAGACCAAATAGCTATAGAGCCATCACGAGAGCCTAAGAAAAATGGAAACATTTGAAGAAAGAACCACTGAGGGGCATTTATTTAAAATAATTACCTTGAATCTACAGGCATAAAATTGATATTCTTTTAAATTATCACCTTGGAATAAAAGAATTGAGTTAAACAGATGAAATTGAGATTAAAGTGGGTTTATTTCCCTTAATAGCTGGCTGCTTCACATAGTATGAAGTTACTGAGCTAATGGGTGAAAAGAAAGCTTTATTACATATCTTTGAAAGAGAGCGTGCTTAATCTTCAGATTAGACCAGCTTTATTGTGTGAAATGGAAACAATGGCATTGATGAAAGCATGTTTCTTGTCGGGAATAACCAGGAAATGCAAGATCAGGAATGAAATAGTGAGGAAACTAGAAGGGAATTTGAGTACACCACGCCTTCAAAGGTCTGAACATATAAGAAGATTGAACTATGTAGACACACCAATATATAATTAAAAAGTTTAATAAAATGGGAGTATTTGTAATAAAAGACCTTAATCAATGCAAAACTGAGGCAAAGCCCAAAATATGAATTAATACATTGTTTGACAAAGAAATTGAAAACTTAATTAATGGAAACAACAAATTACCTGAGGCAAGCAATGTTGGAGAAATCCATGCAAGTGAGAATAACCAATCAGAGTGATGCTTCGAAAATAAATATATATTAGAATTACTGAGCACTAGATTTTTCTTGACAACTTCCAACAGTAGAGATCATAAGAGAGGTGCTGTGAACATCAACAACTGAAATTTGGTGTTCACATCACCAAACAACTAATAGAATTATTTAGAATTTACAGAAATAAAAATTGGATCTGAGTGTTTTACTCAAGTAAATTTGACAACCTTACTTGATATCAGTGGATATTTTAAGACCCTGTAAAATATCATAGATTCAAATTTGACAGCTAAAAATTGTTTTTTTGCAGCTTCATATTGCTAGAAATCAGAATGATTTAATACATGTATGGTTAAAAACCTTCTGACAGCAGTTAACCAGATTAATGTTGAAAGAAAAACATTTCAGGGCAGCAAAACTTACCAGGGTCCAACCTCTTTCAAAATATCCAAGCCTCATTTCAGTATTTCAAAACCAAAATTTTAAATGCTTTTTAAAACATATTTTGCAAACAAAACTCCAAATATGAATTTAAAAATTAGTTCATTAGTCGATCTGGTGTTCTGTCATCATAGCCTTGGGCAAAACACTTGAGAATAGAATGCTTATTCATACCTCTCCTACACAAATAGGCTCCATTGATGGAAGTCTGTATGCTGCAATATTGTTCGGATTCTCACCACCAGTTGCCAAAATGCTACCATTTTGATTCTTTGCTATGCTGTGTATACCACAGTTGGTTCTTGGCTGCGGTGCATTTACCGACCCACGTAACACAGGAATATTCCAGAGTCTTTTTGATACTGCATTTACCACAATGAGCTAAACCACAAAAAAAGTTTTGTGCTTATTCAATGAAGATAGTTCTTCACAATAATAAATAGAAACTAACAGTAGATTGATAAGCTAGAAAATATTAGTTTTACAGTTTATTTAATACATCAAGCATAAGTTAAAATAGCGATATTTACATTTAAAGCCTTTTGCTTTTTTAGCTTTTTCTTTGAATTCATTATAAACATAAACATTTCAAATCAATAACAATTGAATCCTTCATTGCATCCATTGGAGTTCACTTCCTCCTGTTTATATGAGACTGCTTCCAAAATAGCTCACTTTTGCATTTTGCTCACACAAGACCTGAACTCAAGATCGGTTTCAGTGAGGTCCCAGTTACTGTGATGAAAAATGATGCTGTGGACAGGAACATGAGAGGAAACTGACCAAATCTTTCACTTGAGGCTACAGTGGATATTTGTGAATAATTTCATGTCTTGCTAATTGCGACGAGATTACCAAAAAACAAAGGATTTCAAGGAGTTTTAAGATAAACAAATAATAGGATTTCCACCACATGTATACAAGATTTTGAAAAAGTGATTTCCCACTTGATCATGTTGGCATGGAATCAAAGAAAAAATGTTCCAAAAGAAGCGTGGAAGAGTATTAGAAATACCATATATTTTGTTTGTTTATCTATTTAAAAAAGAATTAAGAGCACACCCTATAGAATGCGACTGTAGATTGTGTAAAAAATTTATTGCTGGGTTAGGTTTTATTTAGAACATTATACCTTAAACCTTTTTAATATTGTATCATATATTTTTATTTCATACTAACTCTTATTAGATAGTTGGCCTTAATTAGCTTCTTTATAGCTATCAACCGTTCATTTAGTACGCCAACTTTAAACAAATTATTTTTTATTATTATTATTATATTGTAGTTCTATGTGTTGTTCTGTTTGTAGTTCTCAACTTGAGCAAAAAGTTGATGGAAAAATAGCGGCTGCTATTGTTTTAGCCTCCTTTGTGGGATAATTTATACTCTTTATGGTAACGTACTAAAAAAAGGTCCAGTGTTTCAGGTGTTTATATATGAGTCAAAATAAGACTGGTTCCAAATGAGTACATTTTTGAAGGTGAACTCAAATGAGTACTGCTAGGTGATCTAAAACGAGTACTGTTACACAGGTCTCAGGTAAACAGAATGCCTAAGTAAACTCAAATGGATTCGGATCTTTTTGGAACTGGTGTTGTGTTAATGGGATCCAAGTCAGACTAAATTTCAATTCCAATTGGATTTCCATACCTTATTCAAGTAAAAATTTATACCCCAGATAAGTAAGATATTTGCTAAGTCTGACAATTTCTTTACATGCCCTTGAAGATCTGACAAAGAGGGGTTCAACTGTCAAATCACAATATCTGGTGATTTGCAAACTTACTGAATTGCATTTAGTTCCACAGACAACATTTTTGTTATCAAGCCATGCTGATGAAAATATTTTATCAAGCTGACCAACATCCAGCTCTTTCTCCTTCAATACTGTAGGCAATTTTCTTGCACAAAATCTATCTTTTGTGAACTCATCAATCTTTGACATTGCATTGGTTTCTCTAGAGACCAAGTATTTATAAACCCCATCAATTGGGAAATCTTTTCTTCTTGACCCCATACCTGGAATTTGAAAACTTCTTTGTTTAAACTCACTTAACAAATACTGCATTGTCAATAATTGCATCATGTTGTTGATTATTTTGCTTGGGCAACAGCGTGTCCCTTTTTGAAGATTTGTTGAACCAAAACCAAATGCAATGTTGTGTAGAAATCAACAAACTGGAGCGCTGGGTGGAAATGGTATTAATCCTACTTCTGAATTAATTTTCCTCTTTGTTAATGCTCCTTGAGTAAATGATCCAGATTGGTTGTAAAGCCTTAAGGAGTAAACGATTGAAGGTTGAAGATCTTGATGAAATACCTACGTTTGAATTGGCAAGCTCTAACAGAAATTTATAATTTACTCCTGAGGTTGGTCTATTTGATATAGAACAAACGAAAAAAAGCGGAAATAAAAAAAATACATATAATTTTCTGGTTGATGGGCTGATTTCAAAAGAAACAAAGGAAACTTACAGATTTTAAGCCTATTATGATAACTCAAAGTAATAAGCGTTGAAGTTACAAGTGTAATTCAGCTTGGCTGCCGGACGAATTATGAATAAAAACAAACAAGAATATTTAAGTTACTGCAACCCACCTACTCTAGCCGCAATAAATCAAAAGTTAACTTTTCTAGTTGCAATCTTTTAATGAAACAAATAAGAAAATTAATCATAAAGATGGCAGATCAAAATTAATTTTAATTCTTCCTTTTGGCTTGAATCAATCATAGTATGAATCAATTATAAATAACAAACCTTTTTCAGTGACTCATTTTCTTTCTAATGTCTCCCCCTCTTTTTCTTCTACCTTCGCAAGCTTTTAACATCTAAAGACGACAGTTCTTCCAGTAAAGCAGTAATCACCATTATGTGACCGATCTTTAGTTCATCGTCATCAACATTAACCTTCTATTGAATGTATGGCACTATGTAGCTACCTTTTGTCCGAAAAATCGAATTGAAATTTCGATTCTGCCTCGTCTTCAACGAACTTGTTGTTTGTGTTGTTGCAGTTGCTGCTGATGATCGCTGCTCTTGCGTCATTGCGTCATTAGCAAATTGTCAATGGATTTACCTGGTTACAGACCCATTAAAGCAGAACTGCCTTCTTTCAGTGAAAAAATATTTAAATTTGGCTGGAAATCATAAACTGCCTTACTTTGAGGTCGGGAATCAATAAGGGTGGGGGTTGAAAAAATATTCGTCAAACCCACTGTTTATAAAAGCCTTATGAATGATTAATTCAAATGGTTTAAGTATTGTTGAAAGTGATTGCAAGGAAGCTCCGAATTTATAATCAAATATTTTCGACTCTGAAACAAAGAAGTTGCTACAAGTAGCGGGGGTCTTCAAAAATCCCTAAAGAAATAAATGGGGGCCCATTTATTCCGGCTCGAATTTATGTTCATTGCTGTGTCATTTACATTTATTTTACTTTATATTCACACAGAAATTCACAACAGCGTACCAAATTTTTGCTAGATATCTTTTGAAAGCTTTTACTCGAGGTTTTTAGTGAGAATTAAGGGTTTAAGCAGGAACGACTTTTTTAGCAACTTCTTTGTTTTCTCCTTTGCTCTCTAGAATGACTCGTACCAGTACCAAGTTGGTTGTCGCACCCTATGCCCACCTTTCTACCCAAATTAACATTGGAAATGACTTGCAGGCATGCAGAACAAACCCTTGCTTGGAGGCTTCCAAGCGAATTTCATGAGCCTCTCAGAAGGTTTTCTGCGATTTGAAAACAAAGCTATAAACTTTTGAGCTTCTTCCATTATTAAACAGAGATAAAATTCTACGAGCGTGTCAGCAGTATCGAGGGCATTTAGCGATACATTGCATTCCCTATTTACTTTCATGCTTCAATTTGTCACTTAAAAATTCCCTCCTTTAAACTGACCACATTTAAAATCTCATCTGCTACTTTTTGGCCAAATTAAACCTTTTTATCCATTTTCTGTCCAAACCATTGTTATATTAGCACTACCAGTTTGAAACGAACAATGCTTAATCGATTTAAAAATACAAAGCGTTTGGGATTAATTGGAAACAAGAAAAAATGTTTCATAGCAAGAAAAAATAAATCAAATTAAAAGTTGCAGTTTTAAAAAAGAAAATTCACATTTTGAGACCTTACAAGGTACGATATGGTAAATATTTTGTGTAGAGTGTATGTATAAAATGAGCCCTTTAAAACAGTCGGTGGTTGGGTTGTATCAATGATAATAATGCTAATTTATACAAACGTTCTGTACAATGGAAAATATAGTTTGTAATGTTAAAGCAATACTCGTATTCATATATAATAGAGGGAGCCAGATTTCGTTCGCTTGGTATAAGGAAAACACGAATATGTCCAAAAATCATGCCCTGTATTCCACCGTGTCACTTCTTCCTTTTTAAATACTTGTTCCATGACGGGTTCTTGTTTATTTCTGGTGAAACCCATCCATCAGGAATTGGGTCACCATCAGGAACAAGATGTACGTCCCAAAGTCGTCTGAAATGATAATATCAAATTATAAGCAGTTTAAGGTATTGAAAAAGTGCAACAGAATATTTTCCATCTTGGGATATGAATGAAAAATCAAAGGAAAAAACAAATCTCTAAAAATGAATGCAAACACCTTACCTTTTAATCACCTTGATACACAAAATAGAAACTTAGAACTTGGTTTTTTTAAGGGATATCTTACAACGTCAAACAGCATCCTATTTCAAACTTTCCTCGGAATGGATAAAATCCACAGAATTTGAGAAAAATGCTAAGAAAGCCATAGAAAATAGAGGCTTTTAACGGCAGAAATTAGAACAGAATCTTTTAGCTAACAGGAACACAAAAATTATACAAAACATGAAAAACACTGAATGGTCGACGAGAGCAAAAACCTCGCGATCGGCAAGCTAAAAGTTTCAAGAATTATATGTGCTCTAGAATTGGGCAATATCAATGTTTCATTTTGAATGATCTTTACCTCACAAAAGCATTTTAAATATATTTAAAACATCTTTCATTTATAAACAAAACATAATTTATACAATATTTACTTACCTTATTTGAACCAAAGACATTGGGTTCTCTTCAGCCTGTAACCAGTAACGACGACATTCCAGCAATGGGTTGTAGCCAAAAAGACGTAAATATTCTAATAACGAAAAAGATAACTTGAGTAAACTTCTCGATCAATCAGATATTCGTGTGTTTCCCTCCTTCTACGAACTAGTAATGTGGATTCGCAGAGGTGAGTTTCAGAAGAAAATTTTTCTCTGGGACGAGCGAGCGTTCTTACTATCCATCCTCATGAAAATCAAAGATTCTGGAAAACTTTGCAAACTGAAAATCTCAAATTCAGTTTCCAAATTCAAATTCCAATTTTTCAAATTCCATGTTAAATGTGTATAAATGAATTATAGTTAAGGATTCTTCATAAATTGTTATAACAGTTAACCAGACATTCAGACCCTTAACAGCAATCTTTCCTTAACAAAAAGATTAACCAGATGAAACTGTCTATAGCCCCTTTTTTGCTCAAGTATGATAAAAAAGAGAAACTTGCCTTTCTCCATCAGCGCTTTTCGTTTGCTATCGTCTTCACGTTTTAGTTGCTCGTGTTCTTCCTCTAGCATTACCTTCAAGGTTTTCTCTTCATCTTTGTAAATATCTAATCTCTGCTTTATAATTTCTCTCATCTTGCCGAGTCTTTCTTCAAACTTTTTGTCCTGATCCCCAAAGACGAAGATACCTAATGGACAAAATGCATGACAATTTTAGATTATCACTTCGCAAAAACTGTTTGGCCGAAAATAAAAAGTTTTTAAATCATTTTAAAACAATCCTAAAAAATATGATTATTTTCAGAAACACAATGTTATAATAACATTATAGGAGCTACGAGCGACGTAGAACGTAGAACCGATAACCCATCTCATTTTCAGAAATTTTTTTCATGATGTAAGAAACATACCAATCTAAAACGAGACAATTACGCCTTAATCCTTTTGAAAAAATAGTCTGTGTTCATTAAAAACTTTTTGACACTTATATTTAAAAAATTTCAAAATTATAAACATTGGTTAGCCAAAGAGAAAATTGTCCTAAGGTGTTTAAAATGGTATTAGAAGAAGTCTGCTGAATGCAGCGGTAACAAGGTTTGTGTAATCAATGGGGACATAATTTAGTCAATAATGTCAGGGAAGGCCCGGAAGTCTACAACAAAGCACTTAAAAGGGAAAAATGGAAGGGAAGCGCACCTCGTTGCAAAGCTGTTTGTCTCCGTATTCCACGTAACTCCACCGTCCCATCTACCTTTTCCAGCCACTTTGAACCATCAACAATCTTCCTTCGCACCTCTGCCAGAGACTGACCAGCATCTGACTTCAACGAGTCAACCTTATGGATAATAAATAATTCATCAAAGAATTGTTCTTGTATAAAAAAACCATCGTAAACGAGCATGCAGCTTTGAAACACTATTGGCCTTACAGAATTTCAGTTAAAACATTCAATATAACCATTCTCCTAGAAATAAAGAAACAATCATATGCTAGAAAAGATACTCACCATTTTCTTTGCATTAATTTTAGAAACGATTTCATGCCTCCATTCGTCAATCTTTTTATGTAACAAAATAGTTCTTCTTTTATTTTCAAGCTTTTCCTTTGCTCTTCTTTCTCTAGCATTCCTCTGCCTTTCCTTAAACCAAATTAAATTTTACAATTAAATAAACACTTAAAAATAAGTTAAGAATGGCAAGGTCTATAATTATTGAATTCACCATCCATCAAAACTATTTTTAAAGCCTTCAAGGATATTTTGAATGTATTTAGATAACTCGTAAGTGATGTCACTAGTGTGATATATAAACTTCTTTAATTGTGTATTTGGCAAAATGACTTACCCTTTTCTTTTGTACCTTTTTCAATTTCTTGTTGACTGCCATAAGATAATCACTTTCAAAAAGTTTTGCTTGAAGTACTTGCAAATTTTCCTGAATGAAAAAGTTTCTAATTACTATTTTGAGTTTCTATGATGTAGAAGATAAAAATAAACATTTTGCAATTTTTTTGTAACTTGGTATTGCCTCCACACTTTTGATTTGTTGACATTCAAACAACCACCAACTGATTTTTGGCCTAGTGATAATATATATATATATTTATTTATGCCCTACATGAAAGCAAGTCATCAACACAACCAAAATAATATTGGATTAAAATTTGATTACTCTGCACCTTTGTAGAAAAGTCCTACAAAAATAGCACTTATTAAGAACAGAAGCAAAAGTTCCTATTTTCTACTATAAAAGATAAAATATGTTAATTTTACACAATATGATTACAATGTTGTAACTCTGCTTGAACCTGGTTACACATGCATCTTTCACATTTCAAGGGTAGCCCATATATTTATCTTCAGGTAACTTAATGACTCGTTCATTCTGTCAAAAATTAATGACTCACTCATTCATTTTTGACATTTTTACCTAGCTGTTCATTATAATAATTTTAAGCCATTGAAATGTGTCATAATAATTATACATAAGTATGTAACTCTAGGTTGCATAACTCAGATCAATTACTCTCACAACCAGGTTCATCTCTATTCAACTCTTTCTGGCTCTGTGTTATCTGCATGTTCTATCTAGCTATCTATCTAATAATAACATACATACATTTATTCATGCTTAGGTATGACATAAAGTTGTTAGTGAAATGAACTTCAACAGTTTTGATGAGTCATTGCAAGATTTTCAATTTGCTTCAGGAGCTTTAGAAACTCTGATTTTGAGTTGCACACTTATGTTGGAGAACCTTACACTACCAATCCTCACCCTTCCATTATAATTATAAAACTTCTCTAATTGAGTAATTGGCATAAATATAGCTATGGTGGCATAATACAACCCTGTCCAACCTCCTTTTTATGTTAAACTACTTTGTATCATTGCAGTTTACTCTTACAGTTGTCTCTTGATTTTCATAGAGCTTCTTTATAAGATTCATATTGTGCAAGGGGAAACCCATTGGTGTCATGATTCCTGTATCTGAAAATGTTTATAGGGCAAAATTCAAAGAAAAGTTATATCAATCTGAAATAACAGTTTGTTTGGAAATATGTGAGAAACTATTCAGCAATATTTGCTCAGAAGTAAGTTTGCTTAAACTAAAACCTTAATGCTTTCTGTCTTCTCAACAACCTCTTGCCATTCATCTTCATCTGTGTTTGCAAATCGTAGCAGTACATCTCTACACAATTGCAGCTCAGAAATGCACTTCAGGTAGCTCTTCAAATCATCTTGAAATTGTTGAAGTCTTATCTGAGAAAATAATGAAGATAGACTATCTATCACACAAAGCAATAAGTGGACCTCTAACAAATGTGACTTGTGTAAGGTTTCTGTAGTCACCTCGGTAACTTACTAAAGTGGGGCAGCCAACTAAAAGTCAATAAACAAAATAAATTGTCTCTGGTCCGAAGTTTCATCAACCATTAATCAACATAACAGTCAAAGTCATTATTTGCACGAACCTACATAATCAATAAGGAATCTCTTTAAGCTGTACTCCAAATATATCTTTTGTTGTTGCTATTGTTTGGCTTGATTTTTTGTATATTTGATGACTAACCGGATTAACTAACTGTATATTTTTTGTATAGAGAGCATTAGCAATTGATGAAAACAATTAATGAAATACCTTACAATTTCCTTCAACTTCCATTGAACTTCTCTTAATATCTCTCTGCGATAGCCACTTTTTCACAAATTCATTATCATTGACATTTTCATCACTGTGGTAACTCTGTGATGGGCTATTCTCAGACATTGGGGTGGCTTCAACATACCCTTCTTTTGCTAACCATGGTGGTCTATTGAGTGACATATTTAAAGGAACTGGTGGGGGGAAGCCTGGCATTCTAAATCGTGGGTAGTTATCCATCACCATTGGCAATCTCCCACCATGTTCAGCTCTTCCAAAACCCTGTTTATCTTGGTATCCTGCGTTCATATCAATATTTTGACTTCCTTTGAACTCTGCTACGTTACTTGGTACATTGAAAGCCCCGGGCATTTGTGGCCGACTCGAGTCTTGATAAATTGGGCCTTTGCCTAATAGCCACGAGTCAGGTCTGAACGGAATCCTTGGCTGGTCCGCAAAAGGAAGCATATTCTGTTGAAATTGGTTTTGCATACGGTTTCCACTGTAGCTGTAGGGCTGGCTTCCAGCAGGCATCCTAGGTGGCATGTTAATAAAACGATTAGGCATCCTATTAGTGTGTGGGTTGAATCTGGCACCAACATTGTCAATGTTACTTTCTGGCCTGCCAAATGGAAATTGTCTGTTAGAAGGATAATTGTTCATATCTGCAACACTACAAAGTATATTTTCTGTTCATTTCTACCATCTAAATATTTCTCAGAGATATATTCTTGTGGTTTCATGTCATTATTCCTTGCCAAATAACAAATGCCATATCTGTCCTTGAGCCTAGGCCATCTAGCCTCATATTGATTACGAAGCTGTATCGAATATTTTCAATGTTTACCAATGATTAAATCTTTTGATTTTTTGAATTAAATTCATCCTGATTCTACAAAGCCATTAACAATGATAATAACTTTTATAATCATAAAAAGTTGCGAAGTTGTTACATATACCATTAAGGTATGATATTGATTGATAAGGACACTGAGATAATAGCCATAAAGGCTAGAGCCTGAGTTCCAGTTCCAGACCCATTTCAAAACTGGAGCTCAGGCTTTTAAAGCACAGTTTCTATACTCAGCATTATAATAGCACTTTTTATGAAAAAGTTATGGCTTAGGCCCAATGATCAAATTCATTTATTAAGACCCCAATTTTTTACAAAACTTGCCCTCCACTCTTTTCAAATCAAAAGAGCTTTTTGTGAAAATATTTTGTTATGAATTAATTTTGTCCTTGGCCTCACAACTTTCAAACTAGCATTGGAAACCTTGAAAATGTAAAGAATAAAGCTATAACTAGATATTTACGACTTCATCTTGTAAACGAAATATTGTGTGTAGGAAAACAAGTTAGGTTTCATAAAATTTATGATCTCTACTCCATCAATTTCGCCAATTCATTCTGTGCTATGTAGTTGGATTCACTTTAGTTTTTAAGCTTATCATCAAATAGAGAGTGTTCTTTTACAGCAGTTCCTTGTAAAATATGCATAGTGTGTGCCCAACATTTTAAAGTTTGTTAAGGTAAACTGGCAGCAGGGCGAACATCCTCTGCTAAGATTATTTTGAAGTTCAAATACTGCATATTTCATTGCTATATAGAGATTATTTTTTCTAATGACAAATACCTAACCCTAACCCTAACCCTGACCCTGACCCTGACCCTAACCTTGTATTTGGCCTTTATCAGTTATAAATTATCCGTACTACATGAGAATGAAACAAAATGCAAGCATCCAGTTTCGAAAAATTCACAGTTACAGCTTTGCTTTTCATTCGCACCAGGAGAGTCGATATACACGAAAGAAACCCAAGCTGGAGTACTGGTGGCGATATCTTTAAAAGCTTGCTGGGGCCACAGTTTTTTGCAATTTTGCGTGAACAACTGCTAAAAGAATTTATTTGCTATTATCACTATCATTATCAGTGGCGGAAGTTTTCTGCCCGCTTCCCTCGCAGGGGATCCGCAATTTCACTTCTTGGGCCTCTATAACCTTGAACATACCTAATGCAATATTAACAACTATAAATAATTACACAAACAATTTAAGACAAAATCAAAACTGCTTGTAAGTTCAATAATTAATTTCAATTCAGTAGAAATTAGCTGAACTTTCCATAGATTACTTCAACATTAAAGTTATTTTCAAACGTATTTCCCACCAAAGAGAACAATGAAACTGGGTAGAAAAATGAAAAAATTAGATAGAAAACTGCAATGATAAAAACAGAAAATGCTTTGGCCCCATTCTTCTTCGCTGTCTCTGTGACTGTTGATCATCGTCTGTTTACGAAAACTTTATAAAAAGAACTCCTTAATTTTATTTTCTTTATTGTTAAAGACAAAGAGTTTTGCGTTTCAGCTGCGTTTCTAGTGCCCAATTCAAGCAGCTCTACAGTAAGTAGGGTGTCAAGCTAAAAAATCACAGGGCCGAATCCAGAATTTCAGCAAAGGAGAGGTGTGCTGTCCGAGGGAGGCAACCCAAAAGGAGACAAAGCCCGCCCGAGAGGGGGTCTGGGAGTTCCAGCTGTTGCTTTAATTGTATTTATTTAAATCTTCACTAGCAATACAACATAGTGTGGTGGAACAGATTTTTCTTTTATGTCCCTTTTTCCTTCTATTTTGTTACCGTTACTGATTCTGTTCGTTCTATTGACTCTCGATGCAATGAAGTAGACCAGGTTAAATAAAAATTTTGGGCAGTTAGCTCGATAACGCTTCTCATGAGTTTTCCTAAGTGTCCCTAGCAACCAATAAAAATGCAAGTGCCTCACCCTAAATGATTTTAATTTTGATAGTTGTGTAAACCTGTGAACTGCGATTTTCTGTATTCAATGTCGAGTGAATTGCGAAGGAGAGTATCCCGGCAACCCCTGCAAAATTTAAGCAAGCTTGCAAGAAAAAATGGCGACGAATGCTTTGAAAATCAAAGGACACTTTAAAGTGCACACAGGTTTGAGTCTTGATGGTTATATGAATTTTTTAAGCCACCTTTTAGCATTTTTGTCATGTTATTTTAATGAAATATGCAGCTTAATAATGCCAAACACTGGCATTAATGTGACCAGTTGGATTACACTTTTGATCCATTATCCTCCCTCCCCCTTCTTCTTGCTGCATGCAGTGTTCCTTTCCTCCAGAGGAATCATTTCTTTAATGTTGCTGGAGACATTCAGAATCAAAGAAGACTATGACAGAAGTGTCAAAAGCTCAAAAATAGCGAAAATTTCCAGCCAGAGGATAGTTCAGTTTGGTTCATTCAATTTCATCCCATACACAAATACACAAAACATCAAAAACCAACTTATAGAAATTTGAATGAGGGTTAAAAATTATAAATACAAGCATAAATATTAAACATAATTCAAAAGATAGCTACAATTACTAGAGAATTTTTCAGAGGGGGGTGGGGGGTAACTAAGCCCAGTTTTGGATGGGGACATGCCATTTTGGTTCAAAATTTGGACCCATAATTCCGCATATATCTAGACAAATGTGACCCATAATTCCGCAAACATGATCAAAACTATGCCCATAATTCTGCAAGGAAAACAACATTTTTGAAGCAAAAAAATCATTAAACAAATTTTGCATGTCCCATGTTTGCAAATCTCAATATTACACATATTTCACACTTTCATTTCTAACTGTACATTCATTTTATTGATGCTAAATTTCTCTCCTAACAATTTTGCAATACTTTTCCCAAAATAGTACCCATAATTCTGCATGTTTCTTCAAATGGTACCCATAATTCCACACATATTTCTAAAAGTGGTACCGATAATTCTGCACTTTTCAGAAAAAGGTTCCCCTAAGTAATGGCATGTTCTCGTTCCTCAAAACCTCCCCCATGAGGATATTAAAGTACCCTCCCCCATGAGGATAATTTTTATGAAGGGGACTTTTTAAGGAGAGGCCATCTCAATATTGAATCTAATAAAAGATAGAACACTTCTATTTTAAGGTAATTTAAATTCTATGCCATCATAATCATAGGGTAAAAACTATTGAAACATCTCATTTTTTACTCTCTAGAGAATATAGTCTTGTGTAGAAGGCTAAAGATTCACAAACTCCTAGTTACTAAAATTGATCACACATTAACACAACTTGAAAATGGCTTTAAAAAAGCAAACATTTTACAGCATTTTGGGGAAAAGTGATGCCTATTGAATTTTAAATTTTCTATTTCTTCTTGCTTGTTAGATGGGTGAAAAATATTTCAAGTCTTATTTTTAAGCTGTTTATTTATAGTAAAATAGTTTATGTCTTTTAACTGTTAGTACTATATAGTAAGTGAATGGACCTCTACTTTGTATTCAAAATATTTTGTTACCTGACTTTTTAAATGCTGCCTGAATTGAGATCAGTGACCAACACCTGGGGGGCCTGGGGATTGTTGCCCCAAGTGTTTTGGAGGGTGATGGTCTTTTGTTCAGAAAAAATGGGAAAATATGACATCATCTTATCAAACAGTAGGCTTGGTGCCCCGCAATATTTGACCAACTGACCACCACTGATTGAGATACTGTTTTTCTCTGTGATGTTTTTATCTTGTAGTCAGTCCCTTAAACATCAGTCCTGTAGGCAGTTCTTAGGGATCTGGAATTTGAGTAGAACCTTTACCAAGATTGCATTTATTCTATCTTTTAATTTTCTTCTATGGCCTGTTTATATTTCTTGAGTTTTTTAAAGAATTTTTAAGTAAATTTTTCACAGGACTGTTTCATGATTATTTCAAAATGCTTGAAAGAAGATGTCAAGTTCTCTGGAAATTGTTGAAATTGAAGAGAACATTACCTCAAGAAAGAAAGCAATTATCAAATGAGCTGCCTATATAATGCCTCTTATTGGAAGACATGCTGATTTTTTCATTAAGCCACTGGTAGGAAAGATAATTTATTGGCAAGCAGTGACAGTGGGGATTTCAGGAGATGTTTCCTTCCTCCTTAGTTAAGAAATGAAGCTGCCGATGAAATGTTTAAAGAAATGAGAAATATTGAGATGTTTAAAGAGTTGGAAGCCCATTTTCTGGGTTGGTTAATTGACGAAAGAGAGTAAGTGCTTTTTTAGTTTTTTACTGTTTGAAACAAGTTCCGTTCTGCTTTTCTCTGAAAAGAATTTCACTGAATTTTGTGTTTTCTATTGGTTTTTCTTTTGGTTGAAATGAGAAAACTATTTTATATCTTGTTTCTCAGCTCTTCATATAAATTAAAAGAGGACAGGACTTATACTTTATTGAAATTTCAATGTCCCTCAGTTTATTTAGATGCTACCTGAATTGTGGTGCTGTTTTTTTCTCTGTGAAGTTTTTCTATCAGCAATTCCTTCAAACCTATTTCTTAAGGATCTTGAATTTAATTGAAAGCTTTTTCTATCATCTTTGGGCTGTTTATATGTTTGTTCTTTAAGGTTTTCAATTTATTTTTTTACAGGATTGTTTGATGAATATTTCAGTATGCTTTAAAGAGGATGAAAAATCTCTGGAGATTGTTGAATTTGAAGAGAGCCCTATCGAAAAGGAGAAGACAGTGATCAAAAGAGAGCTGTAAATTTTGTATTTTTTGAAGACTTGCTGTTTCTCTTATTCAACCAAAAGGAGGGGAGATATTTTGTTTGCAAGAGCTTACAGTCAGGACTTTGGCTAATTGCAGAAGAGCGAATCATGAAGGTGTTTTGTTGCTCTTTTATCTGATTGTACGTCTTACCAAAGTTGATTGATGAAGTTGCAGGCTGGAAATGATTTATGAGTTGAAAGCCCTTTCTCTTGGTTGGCTGATAAAAAACGGAGTAAGGGTTTTTTTACTCTTTGAAACAAGTTCCGTTCTGTTTTGCTCTAGAACCAATTTTACTGAATTTTTTGTTTTTATTGGTTTCTCTTTCGGTTGAAATGAGAAAACTATTTTATATCTTGTTTCTCAGCTCTTCATGTAAATTAAAAGAGGACAGGACTTCTATTTAGTTGAAATTATAATGAGCCTCAGTTTATTTAGATGCTACCTTAATTGAGGTGCTGTTTTCTCCTCTGTGAAGTTTTTCTATCAGAAAATTCCTTCAAACCTGTTTTTTAAGGATCTTGAATTTAATTTAAAGCTTTTTCTATCATTTTTGGGCGGTTTATATGTTTGTGCTTGAAGGTTTTTAATTTATTTTTTTACAGGATTGTTCGATGACTATTTCAGTATGCTTTAAAGAGGTTGAAAGATCTCTGGAGAGTGTTGAATTTGAAGAGAGCTTTATCGAAAAGGAGAAGAAAGTGATCAAAAGAGAGCTGTAAATTTTGTGTTTTTTGAAGACTTGCTGTTTCTCTTATTCAACCAAAAGGAGGAGAGATATTTTGTTTGCAAGTGCTTACAGTCAGGACTTTGGCTGACTGCAGAAGAGAAAATCATCAAGGTGTTTTGTTGCTGTTTTATCTGATTGTACGTCTTAGCAAAGTTGATTGATGAAGTTGCAGGCTGGAAATGATTTATGAGTTTAAAGCCCTTTCTTTTGGTTGGCTGATAAAAAACGGAGTAAGTGTTTTTTTACTCTTTGTAACCAGTTCCGTTCTGTTTTGCTCTAGAACCAATTTTACTGAAATTTGTGTTTTTATTGGTTTCTCTTTCGGTTGAAATGAGAAAACTATTTTATATCTTGTTTCTCAGCTCTTCATGTAAATTAAAAGAGGACAGGACTTCAATTTAGTTGAAATTATAATGAGCCTCAGTTTATTTAGATACTACCTTAATTGAGGTGCTGTTTTCTCCTCTGTGAAGTTTTTCTATCAGAAAATTCCTTCAAACCTGTTTTTTAAGGATCTTGAATTTAATTTAAAGCTTTTTCTATCATTTTTGGGCGGTTTATATGTTTGTGCTTGAAGGTTTTTAATTTATTTTTTTACAGGATTGTTCGATGACTATTTCAGTATGCTTTAAAGAGGATGAAAAATCTCTGGAGAGTGTTGAATTTGAAGAGAGCCTTATCGAAAAGGAGAAGACAGTGATCAAAAGAGAGCTGTAAATTTTGTGTTTTTTGAAGACTTGCTGTTTCTCTTGTTCAACCAAAAGGAGGAGAGATATTTTGTTTGCAAGAGCTTACAGTCAGGACTTTGGCTAATTGCAGAAGAGCAAATCATGAAGGTGTTTTGTTGCTCTTTTATCTGATTGTACGTCTTACCAAAGTAGATTGATGAAGTTGCAGGCTGGAAATGAGTTATGAGTTAAAAGCCCTTTCTCTTGCTTGGCTGATCAAAGAAACAGAGTAAGTGTTTTTTTACTGTTTGAAACAAGTTCCGTGAATGAAGTTTTCCTCTATAACGACTTTAATTGAATTTTGTGTTTTCTATTGGTTTCTCTTTTGGTAGAAATAAGAAAAATATTTTATGTCTTGTTTCTTAGCTCTTCATACAAACTAACAGAGGACAGGACTTATACTTTCTTGAAATTATAATGTGCCTAGGTTTATGTAGATGGCACCTGAATTGAGGTGCTGTTTTTTTCTCTGTGAAGTTTTTCTATCAGCGATTCCATCAAACCTGTTTCTTAAGGATCTTGAATTTAATTTAAAGCCTTTTCTATCATCTTTGGGCTGTTTATATGTTTGTTTTTTAAGGTTTTTTATTTATTTTCTACAGGATTGCTCGATGACTATTTCAGTACGCTTTAAAGAAGATGAAAAATCTCTGGAGATTTTTGAATTTGAAAAAGAGCCTTATCGAAAAGGAGAAAACAAAGATCAAAAGAGAGCTGTAAATTTTTTGTTTTTTGAAGACTTGCTGTTTCTCTTATTCGACCAAAAGGAGGAGAGATAATTTGTTTGCAAGTGCTTACAGTCAGGACTTTGGCTGATTGCAGAAGAGCAAATCATGAAGGTGTTTTGTTGCTCTTTTATCTGATTGTACGTCTTAGCAAAGTTGATTGATGAAGTTGCAGGCTGGAAATGAGTTATGAGTTAAAAGCCCTTTCTCTTGCTTGGCTGATCAAAGAAACAGAGTAAGTGTTTTTTTACTGTTTGAAACAAGTTCCGTGAATGAAGTTTTCCTCTATAACGACTTTAATTGAATTTTGTGTTTCCTATTGGTTTCTCTTTTGGTAGAAACAAGAAAACTATTTTATGTCTTGTTTCATAGCTCTTCATGTAAATTAAAAGAGGACAGGACTTCTATTTAATTGAAATTATAATGAGCCTCAGTTTATTTAGATGCTACCTTAATTGAGGTGCTGTTTTTCTCTTTGTGAAGTTTTTCTATCATCAATTCCTTCAAACTGTTTCTTAAGGATCTTGAATTTAATTTAAAGCCTTTTCTATCATCTTTGGGCTGTTTATATGTTTGTTTTTTAAGATTTTTTATTTATTTTCTACAGGATTGCTCGATGACTATTTCAGTACGCTTTAAAGAAGATGAAAAATCTCTGGAGAGTGTTGAATTTGAAAAAGAGCCTTATCGAAAAGGAGAAAACAGTGATCAAAAGAGAGCTGTAAATTTGGTGTTTTTTGAAGACTTGCTGTTTCTCTTATTCAACCAAAAGGAGGAGAGATAATTTGTTTGCAAGTGCTTACAGTCAGGACTTTGGCTAATTGCAGAAGAGCAAATCATGAAGGTGTTTCGTTGCTGTTTTATCTGATTGTACGTCTTAGCAAAGTTGATTGATGAAGTTGCAGGCTGGAAATGAGTTATGAGTTAAAAGCCCTTTCTCTTGCTTGGCTGATGATCAAAGAAACAGAGTAAGTGTTTTTTTACTGTTTGAAACAAGTTCCGTGAATGAAGTTTTCCTCTAGAACGAGTTTTATTGAATTTTGTGTTTTCTATTGGTTTCTCTTTTGGTAGAAATAAGAAAACTATTTTATGTCTTGTTTCATAGGTCTTCATAGAAACTAACAGAGGACAGGACTTATACTTTCTTGAAATTATAATGTGCCTAGGTTTATTTAGATGCCACCTTAATTGAGGTGCTGTTTTTTCTTTGTGAAGTTTTTCTATCAGCAATTCCTTCAAACTGTTTCTTAAGGATCTTGAATTTAATTTAAAGCCTTTTCTATCATCTTTGGGCTGTTTATATGTTTGTTTTTTAAGGTTTTTTATTTATTTTCTACAGGATTGCTCGATGACTATTTCAGTATGCTTTGAAGGAAGTGAAAAATCTCTGGAGAGTGTTGAATTTGAAGAGAGCCTTATCGAAAAGGAGAATACAGTGATCAAAAGAGAGCTGTAAATTTTGTGTTTTTTGAAGACTTGCTGTTTCTCTTATTCAACCAAAAGGAGGAGAGATAATTTGTTTGCAAGTGCTTACAGTCAGGACTTTGGCTAATTGCAGAAGAGCAAATCATGAAGGTGTTTTGTTGCTGTTTTATCTGATTGTACGTCTTAGCAAAGTTGATTGATGAAGTTGCAGGCTGGAAATGAGTTATGAGTTAAAAGCCCTTTCTCTTGCTTGGCTGATCAAAGAAACAGAGTAAGTGTTTTTTTACTGTTTGAAACAAGTTCCGTGAATGAAGTTTTCCTCTATAACGACTTTAATTGAATTTTGTGTTTCCTATTGGTTTCTCTTTTGGTAGAAATAAGAAAACTATTTTATGTCTTGTTTCATAGCTCTTCATGTAAATTAAAAGAGGACAGGACTTATACTTTCTTGAAGTTATAATGTGGCTAGGTTTATTTAGATGCCACCTGAATTGAGGTGCTGTTTTTTTCTTTGTGAAGTTTTTCTATCAGCAATTCCTTCAAACTGTTTCTTAAGGATCTTGAATTTAATTTAAAGCCTTTTCTATCATCTTTGGGCTGTTTATATGTTTGTTTTTTAAGGTTTTTTATTTATTTTCTACAGGATTGCTCGATGACTATTTCAGTACGCTTTAAAGAAGATGAAAAATCTCTGGAGAGTGTTGAATTTGAAAAAGAGCCTTATCGAAAAGGAGAAAACAAAGATCAAAAGAGAGCTGTAAATTTGGTGTTTTTTGAAGACTTGCTGTTTCTCTTATTCAACCAAAAGGAGGAGAGATAATTTGTTTGCAAGTGCTTACAGTCAGGACTTTGGCTAATTGCAGAAGAGCAAATCATGAAGGTGTTTCGTTGCTGTTTTATCTGATTGTACGTCTTAGCAAAGTTGATTGATGAAGTTGCAGGCTGGAAATGAGTTATGAGTTAAAAGCCCTTTCTCTTGCTTGGCTGATCAAAGAAACAGAGTAAGTGTTTTTTTACTGTTTGAAACAAGTTCCGTGAATGAAGTTTTCCTCTATAACGACTTTAATTGAATTTTGTGTTTCCTATTGGTTTCTCTTTTGGTAGAAATAAGAAAACTATTTTATGTCTTGTTTCTCAGCTCTTCATGTAAATTAAAAGAGGACAGGACTTCAATTTAGTTGAAATTATAATGAGCCTCAGTTTATTTAGATACTACCTTAATTGAGGTGCTGTTTTCTCCTCTGTGAAGTTTTTCTATCAGAAAATTCCTTCAAACCTGTTTTTTAAGGATCTTGAATTTAATTTAAAGCTTTTTCTATCATTTTTGGGCGGTTTATATGTTTGTGCTTGAAGGTTTTTAATTTATTTTTTACAGGATTGTTCGATGACTATTTCAGTATGCTTTAAAGAGGATGAAAAATCTCTGGAGAGTGTTGAATTTGAAGAGAGCCTTATCGAAAAGGAGAAGACAGTGATCAAAAGAGAGCTGTAAATTTGGTGTTTTTTGAAGACTTGCTGTTTCTCTTATTCAACCAAAAGGAGGAGAGATAATTTGTTTGCAAGTGCTTACAGTCAGGACTTTGTCTAATTGCAGAAGAGCAAATCATGAAGGTGTTTCGTTGCTGTTTTATCTGATTGTACGTCTTAGCAAAGTTGATTGATGAAGTTGCAGGCTGGAAATGAGTTATGAGTTAAAAGCCCTTTCTCTTGCTTGGCTGATCAAAGAAACAGAGTAAGTGTTTTTTTACTCTTTGAAACAAGTTCCGTGAATGAAGTTTTCCTTTAGAACGAGTTTTATTGAATTTTGTGTTTTCTATTGGTTTCTCTTTCGGTTGAAATGAGAAAACTATTTTATATTATGTTTCTAAGCTCTTCATGTAAATTAAAAGAGGACAGGACTTCTATTTAATTGAAATTATAATGAGCCTCAGTTTATTTAGATGCTACCTTAATTGAGGTGCTGTTTTTTCTCTGTGAAGTTTTTCTATCAGAAAATTCCTTCAAACTGTTTCTCAAGGATCTTGAATTTAATTTAAAGCTTTTTCTATCATCTTTGGGCTGTTTATATGTTTGTTTGGTAAGGTTTTTTATTTATTTTCTACAGGATTGTTCGATGACTATTTCAGTATGCTTTAAAGAGGGTGAAAAATCTCTGGAGAGTGTTGAATTTGAAGAGAGCCTTATCGAAAAGGAGAAGACAGTGATCAAAAGAGAGCTGTAAATTTTGTGTTTTTTGAAGACTTGCTGTTTCTCTTATTCAA